TTGACTTCCACAGTGTTCTTCATCAAATTTTACATTTTATTTTTAAAAACAAGCAGTTTCCTGTTTATGTCAGCGATAATAACACTGTGTGGAAACTGTGAAAGCTCTTTCTTCTGAATCGACGAGTCAAAATAAGAGTACTTTTTACCTTTTTCAACACATTTGAAGTAAATATACATAATATGAAGACATAATATACAATTTAAAGACAGAATATTATCAAAATGCTACACTGTAAAAACTTATATGATCAATAAGTCATGACAACATGATTTTAGTTCATTGTAGCTTATTAATTGTAAACTTATCAGAATGCTAGAAAATATAAAACATTTTTACAATGACTATTACAACAAGTGATTCAACTCTGATTGTGCAACAAAAATGCTTTTCTTACTGCGAGATTTTGTCTTGTTGCTAGTCTAAATATCTAAAAAACATGGTCTTGTTGTCAGAAATAATGAGTCTAAATTAAGATAATATTTCCTTTAAACAATCAGCCAGAGGAATTCTTATTTTAAAACCTGCAAACAACTTTATTTTGCTTATTTTAAGGAAAAACTCACTTAAATTGGACTCATTATTTCTGAAAACAAAACTATATTTTGTAATTGTCAGGTAAATGCGGGTTGGTTGAAGAGTTTTTAGATACTTGGACAAGAAACAAGAAAACAACTCCAAGTAAGAAATGCATTTGTCTTATTTATTTTTTGAGTCCAGATTGATGATAAATGTGCATTTTTTCCCTCATGTAAACAGACGAGTCCTGATGAAGCTCCAGCAGGTCGATGCCGGACTCAATAATGATAAGACTCAGATGAGCAAAGTTCATTTTAACTCAATCAAGTGGATTTCAGTTTACCTGCTCATTAACCTTGGATTTACTCCCTTCCCAGATACTACAAACACTGACAAATGTCTCCAGATTGATCCAGTTAAGGAAAGCCATGTTTCTGGGTTTGCAAGGTTAAGCTTAATGAGAAAAGTGTGAAGGCGACGCTGTGAAGATGCTCATCACCTTCATCATGTGTGATTGCGAATAAAACGCTTTTCTTACTTAAAGTGATCTTGTTTCTAGTCCAAATATCCATAAATCAAGAAGCGTTTTACAGACAAGCAAAACATAGGGTCTTGTTTTCAGAAATATTGAGTCAAATTTAAGTGGGTTTTTCTTGAAACAAGCAAAAAAAATCCTGTTTTCGGTGTAAAGAAAGATTATTTTATTTACACAAAAGTATTTATCTTATTTTAATTTAAAAAATGGTCGTGATTTTGACTTAGTATTTCCAAAAACAAGACAGCATTTTTATATTTTTTCACAAAGCACCCTCTTTTATTAGTGCATAGCAAAGATTAATCATGATTATTTGTTGGCAAAATAAAAGTTTGTTTTCAAATAATATATGTGTGTGTTACTTATTTATATATATATATATATATTTATTTATTTATTTA